GGTACTGCAATCTGTCACAAACCATTGACAGGGTACTGCAATCTGTCACAAACCATTGACAGGGTACTGCAATCTGTTACAAACCACCGATAAGGTACTGCAATCTGTCACAAACCATTGTCAAGGCACTGCAATCTGTCACAAACCATCGACAGAGTACTGCAATCTGTCACAAACCATCGACAGAATACTGCAATCTGTCACAAACCACTGACAGAATACTGCAATCTGTCCCAAATCACTGACAGGGTACTGCAATCTGTCAGAAACCACTGACAGGGTACTGCAAGCTGTCACAAACCATCGACAGAATACTGCAATCTGTCACAAACCATTGACAGGGCACTGCAATCTGTCACAAACCATCGACAGAGTACTGCAATCTGTCACAAACCATCGACAGAATACTGCAAGCTGTCACAAACCACTGACAGAATACTGCAATCTGTCCCAAATCACTGACAGGGTACTGCAATCTGTCAGAAACCACTGACAGGGTACTGCAAGCTGTCACAAACCATCGACAGAATACTGCAAGCTGTCACAAACCACTGACAGAATACTGCAATCTGTCACAAACCATCGACGGAGTACTGCAATCTGTCACAACCCACTGACAGGATATTGCAATCTGTCACAAACCATCGATAGAGTACTGCAATCTGTCACAAACCACTGACAGGATACTGCAATCTGTCACAAACCACTGACTGGGTACTGAAATCTGTCACAAACCATTGACAGGATACTGCACTTGCCACAAAGCACCGATAAGGTACTGCGGTCTGCTACAAGGTACTGACAGAGTACTGCGGTCTGCCACAAAGCACAGACAGGGTACTGCACGTCTGCCACAAAGCATCGATAGGGTACTGCATCCTGACACAAAGCACCGACAGGTCATTGCGCCCTGACACAAAGCACGCGCAATCCACGATTGGTTTTAAGCTAACAAAATCGGCGTGTTGGACCAATAGTCATAGCTTAGATTAGCTTCTTTCCACACCATGAAATATTCTTCCTATATTAGACAGCTTCCTACCCCATCACGAAATATTCTTCCTATATTAGACAGCTTCCTACCCCATCACGAAATATTCTTCCTATATTAGACAGCTTCCTACCTCATCATGAAACATTCTTCCTATATTAAACAGCTTCCTTCTACACCACCATATAATGTCTATTATACATCATGTGTAACAATTCCGTTTTTTTAAGCGCAAAGCTACACAATAGGCTATCTGCGTGAGCCCCCACTACAGGTACTGAACCATGAATTTTAACGTTATAACTGTAGAGTTTATCGCTAAGCCACCGAGGACTCGATAAACGGGCTATCTGAGCTGTGTCCGCCACGGTGAGTCCACTTTATCGTTATAAACCCTGAAACTTATCGTTGAGACTCCGAGGAGCCTTCACAAAATAATTTAACTTGGCTCATAATTAGCCATTAGATCAAA